ATATGCCAGTACTTTTGGTAAAAACATGAAAGTCTACTGCTCCCATCCTAGTGTTCATCCATCTCTAGGCCTTTTTGTTCTGCTAAAGTATGACTTGTGTACTTCATGAAAAGTTAATATAAGCATTTTAATTTGAACTCCATAGCTGGCAAGTATTCTCTTCACCCAAGCTGACTGCTTGGTCTTCACTTCTCTGCTCATGTGTTGTCTCAGGGAGGGGCCTTTCCTGGGTCATACACGTTAAGGTTACCTCCCTTTTATGCCTCTGTTTTTTTCTTCAGTGTGCTTCACTATCTGTAATTTTCATTCACTTTCTTAATTGTCATTCTGGAATAGTGGTTCGTAAAGTGGGAGAATCGCCAACACTTTTATAGAGGGTCTCTGAGGTCAAAACTATTTTCATAATAATATTTAAACATTATTTGTCATTTTTACTCTCATTCTTTATGAGTGTTTAATGGAGGTTTCTAGATGCTACATGCTGTGTGGTATTAAAAGATTGAATGCAGAAGCAGATATGAAAATCCAGTTGTCTTTTATTAAACTAGAGATTAATAGGATTCACAAAAAATGTGAAACAATGTTATTCTTTTTTTAAAAGATTTATTTATTTATGAAAGAGAGAGAGCGCGCACGCGCACACAGAGGGAGAAGGGGAGGGAGAAGCAGACTCCCTGCTGAGCCAGGGAGCCCAATACGGGGCTTGATCCCAGGAACCTGGGATCACGACCTGAGCTGAAGGCAGATGCTTAACTGCCTGAGCCACCCAGGCGCCCCACAATGTTATTCGTCTATCCTGATTAAAATTTCTTTCTGAAAATGTAAATGTTTTACAAAAGTGTGAAAATGTCATTTTTTGTATCCTGATTGTTTTTATTTTGAAAAATAAAGTTATTTTTCACAAGTGTAATTTATGACAATGTAATATATTTTATTATTGTTTTTAAGTGAATAAATATTTTGAACATTTTTCAGTTTGAATTTCTAATATGTAAATATCAATATAAAAATTCTTTGAGGTCTTAGTAATTTTTTTTTTTAGATTTTATTTATTTATTTGAGACAGAGAGAATGAGAGGGAGGAGGGTCAGAGGGAGAAGCAGACTCCCTGCAGAGCAGGGAGCCCGATGTGGGACTCGATCCTGGGACTCCAGGATCATGACCTGAGCCGAAGGCAGTCGCTTAACCAACTGAGCCACCCAGGCGCCCCTGAGGTCTTAGTAATTTTTAAGAGTATTAAAAGGGCCTCAGGATCAAAAACTTTTGAGACTTGCTATTTTAAAATATAAACCTCATGAAAGTAAAGACTCTTATGTGTTTGATTTTAGTTTCATTTTCCCAATAGGCCTGTCAGAGGTGGCTGGCCTGTAGAAGTCACTCAACACATACCTAGGTGAATGGATTAATGAGTGAATGAAAGAAGGCAAAAATAACAGAATTCTCGTGATTCTGTGCACAGCTTCCAAATCTTTCTGTAGTAACTGGTCTTTGCAGATATCATATTTGATAGAAAATTACTCTAATTCATCAGCATAATCTTTGTTTGGGTCAGATTTAAATGGTTCCCTGATATGGAATTGTAAGTTTTTGATATGGTTTTGATAGAGAGGTCTTAGAGATTCTGCTAAATGTTCCATTTTAGGGAGGGTGGAAGATTTTATTCATCATGCTGATTAACTGAAATTTTAGGTTTGTTGACTTCTGGTAGAATTAATTTATTTGGATATTTTAGATTGTTACTTATATTTTATCCTATAGTATTGAGAATACTTTGTGTCTTTGAAGTTAAATACTATGTTGTGTTTAGCCTTTTGGGCAAAGTTAGGTTTTCATTTTTTAAAAAGTCAGGCACTTTTAAAAAATAGTATTGTGTTCATTAGAGATTACAAAATAGTCTGCTTTACTTTTTCAAATTGCGCTGAATAATAAACAGTATTAGAAAAAATGGTTCCTCTAGGGTAATTTCAGCAGACCGGACATCTGTTTACTATTCCTTGCTAAGATCCACCCAACTTGAGAATGTGCAAACCTCAGAAAGCTGGGCGACTGTTCTAGAGATAGTTGATGTATTCAGAGACCAATACTGACTGTGCAGGGCAAATCAAGTAGGTTAATAAACACTTAGACCCAGAGTATGACAAAGTTTGGGAGGGGGTGTAGAAGAATTTGGTAATTTAGGATTCTACTGGCCAGTTTGTTTCCATCCTTTAGGCATAATATGTAGGAAAATCTTGATTTACCCATGAATTTGTAGGATAAACAAGCCCGATCAGCATTCATAAGCAGTCTTAAATTTGGGGTCAAGCTATAAAGCCTGTCTTACAGAACACTTGATGCTTCTCAGATGGATTGCTGGCATTACTTTCCCTCTCATCTCTGTGCTCTAGAGATTCTTCCAAGTAAGGCTTGAGTTCCTCTATTAGGGGGTGATATTTATGCTTTTATAAATAAAATGTTCACTTTTGGGTCTGTGTTTCTCAGTGTACTCAACTTTTCATCAACACAGGGAGTCTTAAAACAGAGGAAAGGAAACTTTGTTTTAACCACTTGTGTGCATTGCAGTCCTCTGAGGAGTTAAAACAAAAAAAAAAAAAAAAGGAAGGCTGCTCCATACTTCCTCATTAAAAGTTAGATAGAATCACCTGGAGAATCTAAAACAAAAATGAAAAGAAAATCCCCTCAAAACCAATATAGGATTCTTAGCCCAGATCAGTTAACTCTGAATTTCAGAGGTTGGATTTAGGCCATCTGCTTTTTGTAATTTTTTTGCTTTTTCCTTTTGTTTTTTTTAAACACTGATGGCTCTAATATGTAGCCAGGGTGAAGACCTCTCTTCATTTATTTAAAAAAAAAGCTCCGCAGGCCATTTTGATAAACTGAGAACAAGTGATACAGAGCTCTTGAGTATGTGGGATCATTTGTGATGCTTATAAACAAAATATAGGAGTATGTTTTTGTTTTGGAGACTATTAAGCTTTCATGTGTCTATTTTTAAAAGTAAGAGGAAGCATGACAAACAGGATTAATTAAAAATATATCAGCCCTGTTTTAGGGACAGAGGCATATGGTTGGTTGGAGGGAGAGAAAATGAAAGGGCATGAGCTTGGCTGAAACAGAACTTTTGTGGTGGAACATTCCCATCTTGTGGCTTGTGAGAATAGTGCTGCTAAAGATTAGAGACTGTATTGCATTACAGCAGCTAGTGGCAGTTTCCTGTTGATTCTACTTGATGTCTAGTGATCAGGGCACAAAAAATTTGACCTCTAGGACCATTCCCTTAGCTTAGGTCTTTTGCTGCCTGACCCAGTAACCTTACTACTTCAAGCATCAAACCCTGCTTCTGCAGCCTAGCTACAGCGCCTTCTTCCAGAGCTTTTGTCCCTGCATTCTTTCTGTTTCAGCCTTGTTACTACAAACAAAGTTACTCAGTTATTGTGAAGTAATTATAAGTACCTTGAAGTCCAAAGTCATATTTCATCTCCCTGATTTAATAATTCTGTGTCAGATTGTCTCTGTTTCCTCATCTGTCAAATAAATGAGGAAATACTATTTCTCACTTCATGCTGTAGTTAGGGGATTGAATGAGTCATTATGTGTAAGGCACTGTGGAGTGCTTGATGTAAGTGATTGATAAATGTTTAACATTCACTCCTTGAGCAAATAGATTCCGAGTATCTTTTAAGTGCCAGGACCTGTGTTGGGTGTTGAAGATGTGGTGAATAAACACATCTCTTCCTTTCTAGGAGACTATTGAAGAGGGGAGACCATAAGCAGAACAAGGATTTTTGTCTTGTAAATATGAAACATCTATGGAATGTTTTTATTTATAAATTCTTAGTTATTTCTGTAGGATATCAAAAGCTTGTATGTGAATTTGTTAGTTCTGATCAGGAATTTCCTTTTGACATCTTTCAAGTTTGAATTGCAAGCCCATTACATTACTTTTTGAACTGAAGAATTGAGATTTTAGCATGTATGTAGGAAATAAAGGCATAAGATGTCAAACTGAAGAATGAGCTTAGTTTTGATAAAATTTTTTTATATTTATACATATATATATCTATATGTGTTTATATTATATTTTTTATATTTTGAATGCTTTGGGTGGGAGGGTTGGGATGGCTGGGTGATGGACATTGGGGAGGGTGAGTACTATGGTGAGCGTTGTGAATTGTGTAAGACTGATGAATCACAGACCTGTACCTCTGAAACAAATAATACATTATATGATACTAAAATTAAAACAAAACCCTTATTTTCTAGGAATTATAACTAATGATTATTGTTACTGTGAACTTTTAAATTAATTTCCTGTCCAACCTTGCAATGTTACCTCTTTATCTTTATGGAAATGTTAAAGGAGAGAGTAATGTAAGAGCCAGTTTTCCATTAGAGGTTATGTGGTGTATCCTGGTTGAGGAAAATTAGGTAGTGCTGGAGACTTTGTTCTCTTTGTTTTCTGTTACCAAACGTTCCCATTGTTGCTTCCTTTGGCTTAATGAGATGTTCTGTTCAGGAGCCATCTTGAGATGTTGAGAAATTGTCAAGGGAACAGTTTGCTTTCAGGTTTTCAGGTAATTGAGTTTTTTATCTCTGTGTCTTATTGATGGTTTTATCATCTGTGTCAGGAAATTATCATGCTGTTAAGAGATATTAATAGGACCACTTCCTCTGTAATAATTTTGGATTGAGGTAATACTGTTTGAAGGAGCTCCTGGATGCCAGACCTTTTGGGAGCCTTGACCTGAAGGTCATGAGTGCTGTACGTGGACATTTTTGACATGTCTTCAAACTCTAGGAGTTACAGATGTACATTTAGATTATGTGAGTTTTATTATTTCTGTCAGAGTAAAGGAATTGATTTATAAGAAACTTGGCTAGTTCTATTATATAATTTTGTGATTTTTGCAAACCCTTAGTATGGTTCATTATTTCTTTGAAATAAAGGAAATAGAAACTGTATGGATGGTTGTTAAGGTCACTTCTGTATTTTCTTTTAGGTGGTATTAAAAATAATAAAACATTATCAAGAAGAAGGACAAGGAACTGAAGTGGTTCAAGGAGTGCTTTTGGGCTTGGTTGTAGAAGATCGTCTTGAAATTACCAACTGCTTTCCTTTCCCACAGCACACCGAAGATGATGCTGACTTTGATGAAGGTAAGGATACTCCTTTCATGTGTTTTTGCAGTGCACACAGATGGTTTTTCTTTTTATTTTTTTTAAATTTTTTTTTTTTGAGAGATTTTATTTTTATTTTAGAGGGAGAGAATGCATGTGAGTGGGCAGAGGTGCAAGAGGGAGAGGAGACAGAATCTAAAGCAGACTCTATGCCAAATGTAGAGCCTAATGTGGAGTTTGATTTCATGACCCTGAGATCATGACCTGAGCCAAAATCAAGAGTTGGATGGTTAACGGACTGAGCCACCTGGGCACTCCCACAAATGGTTTTTAATATAGTTCTCACCGTAACCTTTGATTATCTCTTATTGGGAGTCTGTCAGGCCAGCCTAGTTCCCTTGATTACTGAGTTTTTTGAAAAAATCATGCAAATTCTTTAAAATGAGGATTTATATAAAAAACTTAATTAGTTTGGCCTCATTTGGAATTTAAGATTCTCATTTTAGTAATTTGGATAGGAGCTGTGCTGTTGTTAACTTTCCCATGATGAAATCAGCTTGCAAATAATTTACACTGTGAAGGGTAGGGATCATCATTATGTGTCCAACATCCGTTTTCTTTTTTTTTTTTTTTTAAAGATTTTATTTATTTATTTGACAGAGAGAGACACAGCGAGAGAGGGAACACAAGCAGGGGGAGTGGGAGAGGGAGAAGCAGGCTCCCCGCGGAGCAGGGAGCCTGATGTGGGACTCGATCCCAGGACCCTGGGATCATGACCTGAGCTGAAGGCAGTCGCTTAACCAACTGAGCCACCCAGGCGCCCATTTTCTTCTGTAGTATTTTGACTTAACGTTTAAGAAGATGAGCTTAGGGTGCCTGGGTGACTCAGTCGTTAAGTGTCTGCCTTCGGCTCAGGTCATGATCCCAGGGTCCTGGGACTGAGCCCCATATTGGGCTCCCTGCTCCGCAGGAAGCCTGCTTCTCCCTCTCCCACTCCCCCTGCTTGTGTTCCCTCTCTTGCTGTGTCTTTCTCTGTCAAATAAATAAAATCTTAAAAAAAAAAAAAAAGAGCTTAACTATTTCAGAAAGAAGACACTGAGCATAATTGCTTTGTTAGCAAAGGCCATTAGTAGTTAAAGTTCACACCAAAGGCCAAGGTCAATAACCTGAAAGATTTTTTTTAAAAATCTAGTTAAAAATAATTTCCCATGTGTCTGAACACTCAAGGATCATTTTCTATATAACTTTTTTTTTTTAATGGTAAGAACAAGTAGTGTAATTTACCATCCTAAACCATTTATGAGTGTATAGTATAGAGTGCTAACTATATGCAGGTTGTTCTGGAACAGATCTCTAGAACTTTTTCGTCTTGCAAAAAACTGAAACTCTATATCCTTTGACCAGTTCCTCTTCTTTTCCCCCTTGCCAGCCTCTGGCAACCACTATTCTGCTTGCTTACTTGCTTGCTTCCTTCCTTTTTCTTTTTTTTAAAAAGATTTTATTTTTAAGTAATCTCTATACCCAAAGTGGGGCTCAATCCCATAACCCTGAGATCAAGAGTCACATACCCCACTGACTGAGCCAGCCAGGTGTCCCATCTGCTTTCTGTTTCTAAGAGTTTGACTCCTTTAAATATTTCCTAAAAGTGAAATGAAATGATGCGATATTTGTCTTTTTAGAGACTGGGTTATTTCTTTCTTTTTTTTTTTTTTTTTTAAGATTTTATTTATTTGGGAGAGAGAGAGTGAGAGAGAGCATGAGAGGGGAGAGCGTCAGAGGGAGAAGCAGACTCCCCACTGAGCGGGGAGCCTGATGTGGGACTCGATCCTGGGACTCTAGGATCATGACCTGAGCTGAAGGCAGTCACTTAACCGACTGAGGCACCCAGGCGCCCAGAGAGACTAGGTTATTTCACTTAGCTTAATGTTCTCAAGGTTCATCCATGTTATAGCATATGACAGGATACCCTTTTATAAGGCTGAATAATATTCTGTGGTATGTATATACTACTTTATCAGTTCATCTGTTGATAAATATTTAGGTTGTTTCCATCTCTTGGCTCTTTTGAATAGTGTTGCAAATAGCTCTTCAAGATCCTATTCAGTTCTCTTAGATATATACCCAGAAATGGGATTTGCTGGGTCATATAGTAATTCTATATTTAATTTTTTTAAGAACTTCCATACTGTTTTTCATAGTGGTATACCAATTTACATTCCCCACCAGTAGTGTGCAAGGGTTCTGATTTCTTCACATCCTCTCCAAAATTTTTTTCCTGGTTATTTATTTTTTTGATAGTGATCCTTCTGATAGGTGTGAGGTGATACCTCATTGTGGTTTTGATTTCCATTTCCCTGATGATGAGTGAGCATTTTTTCATGTGCTTGTTGTCCGTATGTATTCTTTGAAGAAATGTCTAGTAAGGTCCTTTGCCTGTTTTTTAGGATTGTTGTTGTTGAGTTGAGGAAGGTCTTTGTATATTCTGGATATTAACACTACCTTATCATATGTATGGTTTGCAGATATTTTCTCCCATTCTGTAGGTTACTTTTTTACTCTGTGGATTGTTTCCTTTGCTGAAGCTTTTTAAGTTTGATGTAATCGATATTGTCTGTTTTTGCTTTTGTAGCTAGTACTTTTGGTGTAATATGCAAGAAGTTATTGCCATGACCAATGATAGGAAGCGTCTTCCTTATTTTTTCCTCTAGGAATTTTATGCTGGTACCATTCTGCTTTGATTACTGTTGCTTTGTAATATGTTTGAAATCAGGAAGTGTGAGGTATTCAGCTTTGTTTTTCTTTCTCAAGATTTTGGCTATTTAGGGTTTTATGAAATTCCATATGAATTTTAGGATTTTTTTTTCCCTATTTCCATAAAGATGCCATTGGGATTTTGATAGGGACTACGTTGAATTTGTAGATCACTTTGGGTAATACGGACATTTTAACAATATTAAATCTTCAGTCTATGAACACAGGATGTCTTTCCATTTCTTTGTGTTGTCTTTACTTTCTTCCACCTGTTTTGTAGTTTTCAGTGTACAAGTTATCCCCAGGTGTTTTATTCATTTTGGTGCTGTTATAAATGAGATTTTTAAAACATTTTCCTTTTTGTCATTTGTTTTCTTGTAACTTTTAACTGATGACTTTTCACTTGGATAAAATGTTACTTATGTAATTTGATTTCACATACTCATAGTACCTTGAAGATATAATAGACACTGAACATATTCTTGCTAAGGTTAGTACCTTGCTATTGCAGTTTGGTCTTACAAAAATCATTTTTTCATTAAAGTAATACCTTTAGAAACTAATCAAGGCTATTTTATTCTAGGCACTTGGGTATTTACATTTTTAAAAACTTTTGTGCAGCATGCACCTTTTTGTTTTTAAGCTGGCCAAGCTCTCCTTGTTTCATCTGAACTGTATATTTCATCTGAACTACTGTGATACTATCAGATTACGGTTGGGATTTCTCTGCACTCCATTCTGGCAGTATTAGGATATCTCAGTTCCTCTGTCTACCAGCATATCTGGAGATGCTTAATTATATTGCAGTAATAACTATTTTAGAGCTAGAAGACTAGAGGAGAAGACAAGGCATTGTTAACATAGTTTTTTTGGTTTGTAAGTGAGGAGTCTGAGGGGTTCACTTGAAGTGATTTCCTCAGTTACTGTGTTAGTGGCATAGTTGGGAGTAGAATCCTTTCCGGAACAGTTTATATTGTCACATAGTTTTCTCAAGGTAATTAAATTTGTCTTATAAAATTCTCAGTTTAGAATATGTGCAAAAGATAATGTTCAGTGCAATTACGGCAGGTGAACAAAGCAAAACGTATTTATTAATTTTAGATCTTGATCGTTGGATGCTGACTTCTTATGGGCTTTCAGGTAATTGACCAATATGCTATTTTATTAATACGTACTTTAAGAAGCTCATTAAAAAGTGTTTTAACAACATGGACATAAGAAATTTCAATTTAGTGTTAAATAACAAAAAAATTGCTGGACATTGTGTGCTGTGTACTATATGTACGTTGCCTATAATTAGTTGTTACTCTGCACGTTTGAAGGTGTTATCAGTCCCATTTTCCAAATTAGGAAACTGATCCTCAATAAGACAAATAACTTGTCAAAAACCATTTAACTGGGAATTTATAGAATAGGGCTTTAAATCTTCGGCTGACTGGTTCCAAGTCTCATGATTTTCCTGTTGTTGCTTTTGGACACTTAGTGAAGTGGAAGCCAGTGATTAAAGGGTATAGAATGGGGATCATCATTATTTTGTAACTGAAATCTGCTTTTTGGGTAAAACAACTAAATTTGGTTTTTTTTATTTATCTTTAGAAGCGAATAGGATTTGCTATTTTTCTTATACATGTGAAAGATCTGCGATAATACTCTATATTTCTTCCTACCCTTATATAATTAGTCTGGAATTTTAGGTTCCCTCACATAATTCATTTATTTGTCTGAATAGGCTTTACTATGTAGTCACCATTAGATTTTTATGAAACCTAGCTAAAAGTAAATTTTCTCATTATATGGATATATCGTGGAATAGAAGAGCCCTGCATGTTATTTTAAATCATTCTAAACATCCATTGTTTTACGTACTGCTTTTCTGTTACTTTATGCCTGCTAAAACAAATATTTATTTAGGGAAAGAGCCTTTTTTCTACCCTTCACCTTATGGAAGTAAAGTTCTCACTAAATATTTTGTAATTTTAATGATTACATATTTTGAGTTGCTTAGGTATTTGTTTCTGTGTTTTTGTTTTGGTGCCTCACGTAAAGTGGAGATTTTTAATCTGTGGTCCCAAAGTGAAATGTTTTAAATTAGGGGCTGACAAGTTACAATCTGTGGGCCTGCTTCTGCGTGTAAAGTTTTATTGGAACACCGCCATGCCCATTCATTTATGTATTTTCTGTGGCTGTGTTCCTGCTGCAGTGGCATAGTTGGCTAGTTGTGACAGAGACCATATGGGCACCAAACCTGAATTTTTTTTTTTTAACCGTCCAGCACTTTAAGAAAGTGACCACTTTTTTTTTGTGTGTGTGTGTATATATGTGTATATATATATATTTTGTTATTTTCCCTCTCTATAAGGTTAAAGAATAAGGTAATTAGTTGTCTCTTTCCATCATAAATAGATGACTTTTTGTTTGTTGCTTATTCCTTTCTAGATGTTGTCCTTAACATTGACTCTGAGTCCAGAATGTATTGTGGTCACTGTAATAAAAACACTGATATTATTGGGTATTTGTTTTACTGGTACATCTGGAAAGTATCAGAAGATGTAGTTTTTCCTTTATTTTAATGCATTTTTCCTTTACCCCCCCTCCACTCCCCACTCCCCGCCCCCACTGAGTTGTTGATGTTTAGGGGAACTGTCTGTAGATATTAGGGAAGAAAAACATTCAATTCACGGTTGCAGACTTGTGAGCCAGGTATAGGTTTCTGTGAAAGTAGTGTTTCTGTGAAACCTTTGTCACAAAGCGAAGCAGTTACTATTAATTTATATAGAAAACATTTTGAGCATTCCCAGACCCAAAAAATAACTTCTGTTAGGCTTTTCTGGTACCTTAGTACACATCTTGCTAATGGATGCACAAGATAACTCCAGATAAAGCACAGATGCTCACAGGCACAGTTCAGAGCGCTGGCACCTTGACCCTGGGGAAGATTGTCAGGGCCACTCTTGCTGCTTGGCATGTGTGCTACCCTCCAAAGGTTCACTGCAAAACAAATGCCGAATGTTATTTTTGCTTTTTGCCTTTTTTTGTAAAAGTGAAAATTCTCTTTGGATTTCTTTCAGTAGGTCTTTCAGAAAAGTGAAGTGGTATACCGCAAACTTCCAAAAGCAGGGTATGCCTGTGTTATGGAAAGGTAATGAATGGTATGAGGCCAAAAAACTTGGGTGGGAATCTCAGCTCTATACTTAGATCTATGTGACATTGAATGACTTCAGTTCTGAACTAGTTTTTTCCTGACTCTGTAGTATCTTTCATTTAGCACATGTTAATTGCTCACTTACTGAGTGCTAGAAATGTAGCTGAAGGATAATTTCTTTATGAGATCAATGCCACCTTGGATTATGCTACAGTAGGGTTATTGAAAACCAAGAAAACTGTTGGGCATAAAGTTTTTCTTTTTTGTTTCTCTCCATGAATTCACTTTTTGTTTTTTCACATGTGATAACTCTCCCTTAAGTGGCTTAAATCTTGATATTACAGGATTTACTTTGTAGTTAAAAGCGAGATAACTTGCTCATATTAGAGAATATATGCTTTTTAAAACCTGAGTAGAAAGACTCATATTAAAATTCCCATTAGGGGGCACTATTATCAAGCTTAGGAGAACTGGAGACTAATTCGTTTTCTCAGACATGCAACCCGAGGCTTGCTAAAAGGGAAAAATATTTTCATCTGATAAGATTCAGATACTGTTTTATACAACTGAATTCCTTAAGTATGTTATAAAGTGCACTGAATTAAACACAGATCCAGTAACTCACTGTCTTATTTTTCAGCAGACTAAATCAATTTAATATTGCAGGTGATATAAGAAGCTTACTTTATTCTACATCAGAGCCAGATCCATAATTTTCATATTTGGAATGGACAGATTTTTTATTTTGCTCTCTTTAAGTCAGTCCAAAGGATGATCCTTAGACTTCAAATAAGTTTTCTTCAAAAACGAAGCATGAAGACTATATTGTAGTATGAAAATACAGTTAGGGGAATGAAATGATGCCTAACTTAGGCAGTATGAACGTGTGTAGCATGTAGAATTTCTGAAGTAATTCTACACATTGACGTGATATAGACACACAGATAGCTTTTGGCTTTTTTGTTCACTTTCAGGTACTTGAAAATTATTTTTTATTATTCAAGTTTGGTTTTAGAAGAAGAAATAACTACTTTAGACTGTTATATACAATTATTTTATCATTAAACTTCCAAAAGAAAAGAAATCGTGTGGAGTATTAGACTTTTCAAAGGCTAAATACGAATTGGCAAAAATGTAGTTTACAATAAAATGTACTGGGAGTACTTTTTCAATGCATAGGTGTTATTTTTGTATCACTGGGTTCAGAGAGAGTAGGTTTTATCTAGCTGCCTTATTTGCAACACTCTCCATGTAAGTAAGCCATAGTTTTCATTGGGGAGAATCTCTGCTTAATCACTTGCTTCCTGAACTCTCACCTTCCTTTTCTTTCTTCTTAGTTTGCCTGAAGCCCACACCCAGGGCAAAAACTACTTGAAACCTCCCCAATAATTACTGTTTTGGCTTTGTATTGCTTTTGAGTTCACGGAAGAGTTGAGTCAGGATAGAGAAAGCTTTCGTATTTTTATGCAGATGGAGACATTTTGTGACAAGATATGATGTTTACTTACTATTTTGTATTATTTTCTATCTATGTGAATAATCAGTAATCATTGTGATCGACACATTCACTTTTTAAAAATTCCTGTTTTACTGCATTTTTTTCAAAGAGTTTTTCTTGGTGCAAATATTAGAAATATATAGAGAGCATTTTGGAGTGTGTTTTGAACCTTATTGGAAAAGTAGGAAGGTGTTTACTTTGTGATCTCAGGTCATTAAGAGGTATGATAAAATGTTTCAAATAACTCAGAAAAAAATTAGTTCTTAGTAATTCATTTTAGCATTTATTCAGCAAATTACATTGAATGGGTGGTGGAAAAGATCCAAAGATAGGAAATCCTGGTTACTGCTTTGAAAGATTTTAAGTGGGAGAGAAATACGTAAAGAATTGTGGAACAGACCTGATAAAAGTCTAGAGTAAGGGAGGACAAAAAGTGATGGGAATCCTCAGGTACGAGCTACTAATTTCTTTTGGGGGATGACTTCATAGGAGAGGTAAAGTTTGATTTTGTAAGTGGGTGTTGTTTGTATTTTAAGTAATTTTTAAAGAAGTTGTTTCTTGTGAGTTTGTTGGAATTATTCACATTTCTGGGCCCTCATAAATAACAAACATCTCTAGAAATAAAGAACAAATTATTTAATATATATTCAACTTGGCATCTTTATTGTTCAGTGATAATTATGTTCCTTGACAATATTTTTCAAATTTTGTTGCTGATTTTGTATCCAGGTGGGGAAGCTGCTTTTGCCGTCTAGGCTCTTTTGATACATAAAGGACTCCTGGCAATAATTTAGTGCCATGTTTATGGAAACCTAGGACCCTGCTGCACTTAGCTCTTTTTAAAATATTTAATAAATATTTAAATATGGTATTTAGTGAATTGTAAATATTTAATAAAAACCTTTCATATATATTTCATTTTAAATGAAACAGTGTGTATGTAGGTAACTAGAGAGAATCTATACACTGAATTATTATATAATTCTCCTGGGTACCGATCTCTTTGTTGATATTTGTGGTAGTATTTTGAAAATGTTAAACCATTCGTATTTAATGGCTTATCACTGAATATTCAGGGCAATGAACTTTAGATTATTGCTTAGTTAAATTATTTTGATTGCTCAGAAAGCCTATGGTTTGTGATTTGAAACTAACAAGTCTTACTTTATATGTTTAGTCTTCAGTTTATTAAGGTGATTAGAATATGAGACATACAATCCAAATGTGAAGCATCGATCCCAGTGTTTTTATGATTTTTTTGTTCTTTTAGTTTGGGTGTCTCAAGATATTAAATACAAAAGTAGGAATAATGTCTAGCTTCATTTTAAAAGTTTGAAGAAATTTTTTGCGTTTATTTAATGTTTTAAAATTTAGGTTTTTTTCCCTTTTAAATAAGTTGAGGAATTCCTGTGCATGGAAGGATGTATACTATTGAAAATGTAGTCAAGGTAAAAGATTTTCCTTTTTAAAGAAATTAAAGTGCTTTACACTATACCCTCCCTTGGTCCCTAAAGTGTAAGTGCTATGGTTTGGAAAGAAACCAAGTAAAACGTGTTCAAATTTTGTGCAGACTTAAAGTAATACTTTAAGATTTGAAAATTACAGGTGGATACAGTACTTAAATAGTATTTAAAATTCCTAAGTTTCCCAAGTCTAAAAGTGTAATCCTTAAATTACTGTTCCCAGTGGTTTACGTTTTAATTAAATAAAAATTGTCTTACTTTTGAACCACAACAACTTTAGGTATAGATATTTGAATTTATTACTGAACCTTAAGGCAATAACCATTAAAAATGAACTGTTTGGCACTAATTAAAATGTCAAAAACCACAGTTACAGTGTGTAACCAAAGATCCTTGCTGTTTCTGTTTTTCCAAAAATTGTCATAAGCAACACAATTCAAGCTTGCTTCCTGTCTTGCCCAGAAATGCTAACCAGCTTATCTCACTAGGTGAAATTTTCATAGATCTTGAAACTTTTATTCATTTGCGATTACTCTTCACGGCTTACCTGTTACCACTTTCTGAGTGGTGGTTTCATACCTTTATCTCTTTCCACCTTGGGGGTTATTTGCTGCTTTTATTTTTTGGTAGTAATTTTTACCCAGTGCATTTTAGATGCTTTCTAACATATTTGAAAACAAAGGCAACCTTTATTTTGGCTTAAGTAGCAATATAGTGGTTACTGAATGCATTGTAATGCAACCCTACATCTCCCCACTACCCTCAGCTCCATACACATTCACCCTTTGTTTTCTCTAACATTGAACCTGCAGACATTGTAATATACAGACCACCTTTCTTCCCCACTTGATTGGTGAGAAGATCACAAAATTATTCCAGTAGTCTTTTCAGAAATAGATCTAATGACTGTTTTGTAGAATTGGATAGTGCTGACTTCATAGAGGTCGTTTTTGATGGCAGGTTACTAACCCCACACTTAGCGGCTGTGGCTGTAGGAGTCCAGCAGCGGAGTCCTAGGTGGGACTCTTTGGACTTGGAGCATGCCAGTAATAACCCCGGCAGGCAGGAGGGCAGCATCGGCAGCTGCAGTTGTCCTCAAGCCACTGTAGCTTCCAGGCTCATCTGCTCTCGCTTTACTCCCCTTTCCTTTTCTTTATTTGTTGTTCATTTCATCAAATCAATATTTCAGAGGGAACCAGGTGCCAGGCATTTCCACTGGCTGTTGTGTACCTGTATTTCTACTAAGGATGTTTTCTGAAGTGTTCATTATTTAAAGACCTTAGCTATTCTAAGCAATATATTTGACTTGAAGCATGGGAAGATTTGTTAGCACTTTATTTTAGTGAATTAGATTATGAGTATAAAGTAAAGCTTATGTTGCTATTCAGGTGAAAGTGTCCAAAAAATATTTTTGTGCAGTTGGAGAATGACTTGGATTTACTAGTATATATCGGCATATCCATATCTCCCCGTGTGCAATTCAGAGTGTTCCTGTAGTTTTGTTAAAATAATTTTGTTCCTAAAAATTTATACATCATCATGTATTTTTCACTTTCATAGTGGAAATATTTTATTTTTACTTTTGATCTCATTTAGTAGTGACTCCCAGAATTTTAAATGAAAGCTTTTCTGTCAGTAATTTATTCTGTAAATAAATGTACTTGTTTTAAAAAGTCTATTACCAAGATTCTTTTGGTAACGTGAATTCTTCTCCTTAGATTTAAAATTTCTTCTCCTATCACTCCTATCACCACTCCTGCCCTGAAAATGTAGTCAAGACAAAACACTGAAAAGATTTACTACCAGAAGAGAGTAAAAGGTTTTGCAAAGAGCGCTGACCTAATACTTGGATGGGTTTTAGCCATTTTCCCTGGTGATCGCATGAGGAATGGGATGGTATGGACATGAGATGAAATATTAAGATCACTGTAAGCCATATCTGGGTTATTTCCATGTTCCTTTAGGAGATATTTGACATAACTAGCAGTGAGACTGATGTTCTATCAGAATCCAGGCTTGAATTTCTTTCGAATTGTCTCTTTATTCTCTGGGCAGCCTGATAAAAAATAATAGCCAATGTCACATACATGGAAATGATGTGTGTACACATAAATACCATTATAGTCCTAGTTAAGAGAATTCCTAAAATCATTCATAGATCTTGCAAACATTTTTGAAAGGCATAAAGGGAAGGACATTTAGACTGAGTTCTGGCTAAAGTTTGGGTAAAGTTCTGGCTTACTGCTAATTGAAATCATGGGTCTCTTCAGCCTCAGTTTTCACATTTGCAGAGTAGATCACAACAGGAACTTTTCTAATTCTTTTAACAGATGGGAGACTGGGGCTCAGAGAGGCCCAGGTTTAAAATTAGCCACAAATTCAGAATTAGAAACCCCAACATGAAATGTGTAATCCACTACAATTTAGGGGGGTTGTCAGTAATCCCAGTATTTTGTCAAAATCACTATGAATGAGGGATATAGATGCCTGCAATTGTAACTTGTAGGCATGATTTTTTTTTTAAGATTTTATTTATTTATTTGACAGAGAGAGGGAGAGCACAAGCCGGGGGAGGGGAGCGGCAGGCAGAGGGAGAGGGAGAAGCGATGTGGGGCTCGATCCCAGAATGCTGGGATCATGACCTGAGCTGAAGGCAGACACTTAACCAGCTGAGCCACCCAGGTGCCCCAGGCATGACGTATTTACTTAAAAGTTTACTTCTTAGTGTTATCAGTTACTGTCAGCACTACTGGAATCAAATGATTGTTTGAATTTAACGTTAAACTCCAGAAAGTTTCCTAAGTTTGTGTATGTATACTAGGTATTAAATAAAAATGAAGGGCAATTCTAACCTTCAGGTCAACAGAAAATTAATGGTGATTGAATATATACATTCAGCTCAGACAGTAGAAACCTGTTTAAATACTGAAAGCACAGCTTCTAATATTTTGCTAAATGGAATGAAGAAAGTAATTAACTATAGATTAATCTGGGTAGATTAAGGGAGGAATATAGTTCATATTAAATGCCACTGAATGCAATTACAAGCAGTAGGTTGAATAGATGATTTAATTTAATTTAGGAAATCAATGTTGACTGACAGAGGAAAACCTAGTTTCTAGAATACATTTCAGATGACTTAGACAGTAGTGACTGTCATGTGAATTTCTGTCTTTACTGAATACACAGCATTGTTAAGTGGTGTGTTGTGCACTGTTTCCAATCTGTTGTGACTGCCATCTGCACAAGTGGAATGAAAGAGAAGAGAGCATGGAAAGGAAGTGGATCAGTTAGTTGTAAGGAATCTGTGTGAATGCTGGGTGCCACTAACGAAACACTGAGCAGTTAGTGGTTTTCCTTTGTAACCAGTACAACTAGCTGCCTCTAAACTGGATGTGTACAACCTGTACACTTCTCACAGTTTACCTTTTGGATGTCATGGTGTGTACCTATGGTTGAGACCGACTAGGAAATCCGGGGACTGTAACTATATTGTGCTACCCTTTTCTTATTCTTCTCTACCTTTGGTTATAATCTTTTGCTGCTTCAGTGTTTGGCACCAATATTGAGGTAGATGTAATATTCCTAGCATGTTTACTGTGCCTAAATGGAATCTTTTTGGGAACAAATTATGCCATAAAACAAATTTCCTGAGAAACACTTAAGTACTTTTGAAAAAAGTCACTAAGACCTATAGATAGGAAAATCGCTTCAAAATCTTACAAGTTGTAACCAACAGAGCATCATATGAATGATGGAAAAGTTTTGTCTGGGTGAGAGGAACTGACTGGTAGAATCTAACCTGTGTACCTTTGTCAGTGGATAAATCTCTTATTTGAATCTGAGGTTTATAACTAGTAAACAGTTCTTTTTATGTGCATATGGTTACCTTTTTGATGTAAACATGTGAGCCGTTAACAAAACTGTGTTAACCATGAGTCATCTGGTACCTTCTTAGGAATTAACATATACTTATATAGTTGACTAATAATACAAAGCCACCGTGGTTTCTGTGGTTTTACCTGCCATAGCTCCAGTTCCAAAACATTTAAAAGGAGACCCGCTCTCTCTTTTTAAATTTTTTTGGACGAAGAGTTGTCTCATCAGAAAACTGCAGTAACTTAAGCAGATCCATAACTGGGGGGAATTAATAACAGAAAGTTTTTGTTGACACCAGGAAGTAAATTAAATAGTGCAGTTGTGGTAATGAGTACCGTATATGATAAGCTTGAGCCACCTGGGTTTTATTAGGATGCTTGATACTTTGATCACAATATTATTTCAAGGCTTGTCTATTTATTTATTTATTTTATTTATTTATTATTTTTTTTATTTTTAAAGATTTTATTTATTTATTTGACAGAGAGACACAGTGAGAGAGGGAACACAAGGAGGGGGAGTGGGAGAGAGAGAAGCAGGTTTCCCGCTGAGCAGGAAGCCCGATGCGGGGCTCGATCCCAGGACCCTGGGATCATGACCTGAGCCGAAGGCAGACGCTCAACGACTGAGCCACCCAGGTGCCCCAAGGCTTGTCTATTTAAATTGCTAAGGTTTCTTGTCATCTTTGTGATTTAGACCATAATTCTTTTCACTGTGAAGAGTTTGTTTTGTTTTGTTTTGTTTTTTTAAAGAAAGGCTCTGTCCAAGCCAAAATTCTAGGGAGGTGCAAGTTCAACAGCTAAATCAGCCATAGAATGAGAAAACCAGTTAAATAGAAAATTAAAAGCTTGAAAGTATAGCAGTTGAATAGCAAGTTCATCTGACCTTGCTTCTCTTTAGTTTTTTGCGTGGATCATAATTATACTTTTTTTCTTTTAAGATTTTATTTATTTATTTGTTAGAGAGTGTGTGCACAAGCAGGGGGAGCGGTAGGCAGAGGTAGAGAGGGAAGCAGGCTCCCCGCTGAGCAAGGAACATGATGCAAGACTCGATTCCAGGACCCTGGGATCATTAACCAACTGAGCCACCCAGACCTCCCTACACTTTTGTTTATCATATGGTAGTAGAATACTAAAAGGACATTTCTTATAATTGAATTAATTATTGATTGATATAAGTATGTGCATTTAAAATATAGATTTCATGCTTTGAGAATGTAGTACTGCTATCGGTTTTCCATAAGTTGGTATTAAGTGGTTTTGATGAACGTCTTTGAGGATTTATGAAAGATTTGAACTATTTCACCCATAATGAATGAATTATATACAAATCACAGAATTTATTTAATTTGTTTGATGAATTATCTTGCTTTGTCTTTGAACTTGAAATTTTAAACTTTTGTCTGGTATAGATGAATGAAATTTTTATTGATCAAAATCAACAGATTCTCTGTCCACTAATTTTCTTTACTATATAGTCTTTCACAGGTATTTAATGGCATCTTTGTTATGTATTTAAGCAAATATTTTGGGTTGGGAAAATAAATATTCATTTTGACTAGTAAGGGGGGAGAACAGGGATGATTTAGTAATTTAAGATATTGTTGTCCTTAGCATAATATATAATAATCATTGTTCAGTACCATTTTGAAAATTTACATTTAAAATGCTTTGTACATGTATTCATGTGCTCATTAATTTTCACTGTTTCAATTTTTGAGAACTCCTATAATTGTTGTAATTTGGCTTGAAGTGTCCATGTCCAGTGTAACTTTTAAGCCTGGTTATGGGCACTTAAAAATATAATGGTCTTCTTTTAGTGTATCTTATTTGCCCTTGGCAGTGAAAGGAGTATATGGAAGTGGCAGTCAACAGCCCTTTTCTCCTTCCTGATAAGACAAAGGAGAAAAGTATTAAAAATAGGAAACGGGCGCCTGGGTGGCTCAGTCGGTTAAGCAACTGCCTTCGGCTCGGGTCATGATCCTGGAGTCCCGGGATCGAGTCCCGCATCGGGCTCCCTGCCCAGCAGGGAGTCTGCTTCTCCCTCTGACCCTCCTCCCTCTCATGCTCTCTCTATCTCATTCTCTCTCTCAAATAAATAAATAAATAAAATCTTTAAAAATAGGAAACGATGTGAACATGGGAAGAGTTGCTTACTGGGAGTTTGTAACATTCTTATTTTGGGAAGATAGGGAAGTATTTGTAAATTTAGGGATATGTGACTGAT